ACAAACAGAAAATAATATAAACATGGGCCTCCTGGATCCCTATCACACTGCCTGCTCATTAAAGAGTCTGTCTTCCCTTATCCTACAAAGATAGCAACAGAAAGATGAACAAACAAACACAAAAGAAAGAAAGGATGGACTGATCTCTGCTGGTGGACTAATAATCGTTTAATGGGAACAAAGAGTGCTCTGGATGATGGGCAGCACAACCACACCCTTGCCAGCTGACCCATCAAATGTGTCAGGGGTGGCATTAGGAACAATCACTGATCAGGAAATGTTGCTTCATTACTTCCAGTTCTGTTACTGGAGTAAAATACCTCCTCTGAGAAAGCATCTTTTTACTGCTTATTGCCTTCCTAATAGACTTTCTAGAATCAGAAGTAAAATCAATATTTTTCTTGCTGTGCCCTGAAATAACATCCTTTTTCAAGTGTGGGATCGTTAATAAAATCTCAGTCTTCTTTTTATTTCTATGTATAATATAAAATCATACTCAGGATCCAATAGTATGGGAATTCTAATATAGTTACAGAACTTAGGCTGGTGAAACACTGTATAAATACAACAGCATTTTCTGGTATAGAAAAATTGCAAAGAGAGTTTTTACCATCCAGAAAAACACTTGAAAATCGGACCTTGGTACATCTCTATTCTGTTTCATTAACCTCCTAACATTTTTGTTCAATGGGTGTGGGATTATTAGATAACCATAACTTCTACAGTGTTAAGCAGAGTTTACTGTGTGGTTTAATTTGTGCCATTAACCTGTGATATAAGCTTGAAAAAGTCCTTTCCTCCTAATGAACAAGAAAACAAGCTTTCTCTTGTTTTCTGACTAACAAATACAAACATGAAACCCAACTCAACAAGTAAATTAATCCTTACACCATTAATATCTCTTCCACTCTCAACTGTCAGAAAACGTGGTAAACCCCTAAATTTTGGTGAGTATGGTCTTTCCTGAACCTTGAAGCAGGTAGAGGTCTGAAGGAAAGAATACCCTGTAATTATGCAATTCACATTATTATTGGTAATGGTAGAGGTATAGAAACATCTTTGGTTTCTTTTCACCAAAGAAATAAGATTTGAAATGAGGTAACAAGGGGGGGACTATTCCATGCACAGACAGATGTCAGGTGAGCTTTGGTTGTCACCTGCTATTGGGTCTGAAGCTTCTTCATTGTGAATGGGCATCACATAAAAGTTGTTCAGTCCTAGAAAAGGGAGACAAATGCTGGCAGTTCTTTGCCTACTTTAACCAGTATGAAAAAAGAAAAAAGACAGTTAGAAAATGCTCTAAAGAAAAAAAGCTTCAGAAGCCCTACAGATCATCTATTTTGAAATCAGACACTTAGAGATAATGGAAGTCGTCTTTAGAAAAAGAGAAAAGACTCTGTAATCCAGTCATCATTTAAAATACACATTTTCTGTCCTGTATATAGCATATGAGAAAAAAAGAATTGTGATAGAGAGAAGGCAAATACATTTAGAATAAAATACAATAAAGTAGGAATAAAATAAAATAATAAAATAATAAAATAATAAAATAATAAAATAATAAAATAATAAAATAATAAAATAATAAAATAAGGAATGAACTTTCATTATTCAATAAAAATTTGAAAAGACCGAGAAACTTTTCAGACTGATTTAAATGAGGAGCTCACCTCATTGAAGATGACTCGTTGTAATTCAATAAATTTATAACAGTATAGAAGAAAACAGAGAGCAGATGGTGCAAAGAATCCTCAGTGCAAAACACAGATCAGGGCTGAGCTCAGAAACCACCCTTCAGCCTAGGACCAAGAGCAAGAAAATGCTGCCATTAAAGTGATTAAAAGCCATGCTGAGTTTCTAAGCATTTATTTTTTTTCAAATGGTTTCATTGGGAACCAAATTAGAGTTCTCCTGTAGCTACTGGATTTGAAACAACTAATTAAAAGAACGTCCCATTGATTCATCATAGGAACATTAGAGTAGTCTTTAGAAATGGGAAAATAGGATTTACCTATCTTACAATTGTCTGGCTAAAAAGAGCTTTAGCAATAAATGGATAGGATCTTTAGGGTCTAATTGACTTCTGCTCTAGTGAGCAACAGTTAGAAGAGGCTGAAATTTCTCCATAGAAAGCAGTGCCTTTAGTAGCACTTCACAACAAAAGAAATAGAAACTGAGCTGGCTGCAGCTTTTAATTACTTGGTTTTATTCATCTCTTTCTTCCTACAATAAATTTCTGGCTGGAATCCTGTATGACAAATGCAGGAGCATCCTTCTGCACAGGTAAGAAATGGTCAGTGGTGGTTCCTTTGTGTCTTTTTGTTAAAAAATACACTTTTTTTTTTTTAGCAGTACCCTAATACAAATACAAATGCTTCTCATAGTCATAGCCCTATCTACACACCTCTGCATTTTGGTTCAGAGGATTCAGTGCTGGCACAGTGCTACAGGTGTGATGTGAGCCTTCCTGGGGGGGGGGTTCGGTTTCAAGTGTAGGTCAAGCACAGCTGGTTTAGGAGAGATCTAAAATAATTTACTTACCTTAATTTGCTACTGAGTTGTTTCCCAGAAAGCAGACTTGGGTTCTTTCTTATACTGAACTTTTGAGAGGACCTTCTGATGTGCCAGGACTGTGCTTTGACATGCAGTTCCTCAAATGGAAGAGTTACTGCCGTGAGCTCAGGCTGAAAGCATGTAGAAATTGCTGAATATATTTGGAAGTCAGAACACAAAGAAAAATCCCCATCTTGAGTACATATGAAAAGCTTATAGAGGTTGGGTCATAATTTGAAGACACGTTATATCAGCGATCTGTACTTTAAAAGCCTAGGAGGGCCAAGAATACCCTTTTATCTACAGCTTAACCTGATGTTTTCTGTAATCCATCTTAATCACTTCACAAGGTTTGGGTTGTCCAACCAGGGAACCCCCAAATGCAGTGAGATGAAGCCACAATGTGCTGGGAAGGTGTTCCTGCTGAGATCCATCACCCAGGAGCAGGCACACAGGGTGCACCAGCTGTATCTGGAAGGTTGCTACAGCTCCCTCAGCCCCACCTGTAAATCACAGCTCAATACCGGTGAATGACTCAAAATAACAAGAAGTAAACAAATTTAAGAGAGCAATGCCCTCCTAGGGCCTTGATCAGTGTTTGGCAAATACAAATCCATGTTTACTACCTCCTGATTTCCTTTAAACAGATCTTTCTTTGTATCTTGCTTGGAGTAGCTGATTTTGCCCCACAGAAATACTACAAGAGCTCAGCTTCACCCTCAGTTTCAAGAGTAAAAATTTCATGTCAGCTGAGGGAGTAGCTATACATACCCAGGGATCACATTGTGGTCCAAATCCTATGAATTCATTTATTTGTTTGTATTGTATTCTGTTCAGTTATTTACATTATGCTTTTTAAGGACTTCCTGAAAACTGGGTTAATCTTTTATTCAGCATGGCAGGAAATCTTATTTTTTTCTCTGATACCCTCACATCAGACCTGTGGTTAAAATGGCATTAAGTACAAGGGTAGAACGATTTCCTGTATAAGCTCTGTGTAGTCCACTTAGCACTTTGGTAGTTTTTTTTCATTTGGTATTACATGTTGAGTTGAGGTTTTTTTCACATCAGAGAGGACCTGACTATTATCCCACAGAATAGTTATCCAAAGGGAGGAGAGACGGTGGATGGAAGTTTGTTTTCTCTCTCAGATAGTGTATTATTACAGAGAAAGATGTGCATGTCTGTGTGTAGAGTTTCCCTTTTTTCGAAGCCAAACAACCAGTTTTGTTTTCTTCAGCGTTTGTTTGCATTCTAGAATGTATTTATTGTTTTCATTTCTTAAACTTCCTGAAATATTTACAGGAAAGAAAACTGAAGCGTGAAATTTTGTGCTTAGAAGCAGATTCTTATTTCTAGGGAGACTCTTTCATTCAAAAGATAAAACCAGAAGTCATAAAAATGTGTTATTTTTAGGAGAATGCTCCATGGAAATTTAGAAGACGTTAAGTAAGATTCATAACAGAGAGGAATGGGGGAGGGGGTGTAATAAACTGATATTTTTTAGTGGAAAGACAGATAGTGAAAGCTGTGAGCCAGTTATGGTAATGGGTTTGTTCAGCTTACTCAGCTGTGTTTAAGACCGTTGAACAACATGACTGGTTTTCCTGCAATATTTGGGAAAGCTGCATGTCAATACTGTCAAAACAACATCAGCATCTGGAGATTATTAGACCTCCTTTGACATGCCTGACCAGATTAATAAAATAAACAAAGATTGTTTTCTAGAATGTTATTTTTCACCATTTTGAAGTTACTGCATAGATAACTCTGTATCTTCAGTCCTAAAAGGGCAGAAAAACTATTTCTTAAAATTGGTTAAACCTGTAGTGAGATAATTTGGCTCTTGGGTGCATCCATTCCATGTGTGTTGGATCCCAGAAGCGGCAGGTGGGTTTGAGGGCACCTTTACCCCCACAGTTTGCCCACAGCTCAGTCCCTGACAAGCTGGCTCTTCCATGCACACGCACACCTCACCAAAGGGCTGAATTCCCTGCTGCTGCTAGCCCAACTCGCAGAAATACCCCAAAGAGTAAATTTGAATGTACATTGTGCACATTGGAATTATACCATTAAATGAAGATTAACCTGAATGTAGAATTTACTGTCTCTGAAATGTGGTTCTGCTCTGGACAAGATGCCCTCGGAGCCAGCAGTGCCACCTGGTTGTGCCCAGCCAGTTGTAGGGACCAGCACAGGCATTTCTTTCTGTATTTTTGCATACAGACATTTTTCAGGAGCTGCTCTGCACTTCAACAAAGGAGTTACTAGTGTGTGCTTGAGACATTAATTCCAGGTTATATGGTTTCCCTGAGAATTGCCATCTGTCATGCTTTGCTGTCTGGAGGTCACTCAAAGTCACCTCGGGTTGGTGTCCTCAGACTGTAGGTTGAAAGGATAAACCGTGTGCTTCGTCTTTAACCCTTAGTTATCCTTTTCCCTTTCAGCACCCACCTTGATAGGTATGGTAAGGAAGGACTGGGCTTCCCAAAACAGCATTGCCCTCTCCTGGCAAGAGCCGGACTTTCCCCATGGAGCAATTCTGGACTACGAGATCAAGTACTATGAGAAAGTAGGTCTCACTTACAGCATCACCCAAACTCAGATCCTAAAGATCAATGTGTTTTATATTTTTAATAGTATTTTTTAAAAACACTTTAAACTTTTCACTTGATCCCACACGCAATGCTATGTATGCTAAAGTAGACGTTTTATTTTGTACTGGATTTTTTTGTTGTTTACTTCTAACTTGTTAACGACTGCCTTGTTTCACATCAGAATAAAGTAGAACAGCAAGCAGACCGTATATATACTTGTCAAATGGTAGCCACATTTACAAACGTGGGTAAATGGATCATATGCTTGAACATATTTTGATTTATGGACTCTAAAAACGTCACATTAGAATGACACTGAAGCAGCAGAATTAAGGCGAATGGGAACATGATTTCATTTGCTAAATAAAGCAATAATCTGTGCTTAAAGGACAGAAATACAGTCATGAAAGAAAGATTTGGGGATGTTAGGCTCTGTAAGTAACTGAGGATTTTCTTCCTTGACTGCACTTCTCTATTGCTGCAGCTTTAATGATGCAGAAAAAAAGGGTAAAATGGGAAAGAAATCCAAACAATTTCGATAGCAGTGTTAGAGGGAGAAGACAGATTGCTTAGAATATTTGGTAGCCAAAGCAAGGAAACCCTACTTTCCTACACTAGAGGAAGTCCTTCAGGTTTTAATCCATTACCATAGTAAACCACAGCATGACTTGAAGTTCCTTTGTTTCATTTTTTGATATTGAACATGAGAAATTGTGAGATTTTATTCAGCTGAAGAGGAACAGTTCCAAAGACCCATAACCATTCATATGGATGGTAAATTATAAAGCTTCTCTATATATTTATTAAAATCCTTTATCAATAGATTATCTGCCAATACCTGCCACGGCTGAGTGACGAGGCAAACAGCTTTCCTTAGAGATCTAGATATTACTTAACCTTGATCTTTGTGCAGCAAGACTACATACACAGGCTTTGTGGCCCTTTGTTATATACAGTTTAAACAACTCCTGTCTGTTTTTACAAAGCATTTTCTGTTTCCACCTTTTTAAAATATAGAAGGAGTATGTTCTAACTACTTCTCTTCCCTCTTAGGTGTGGGGAGATAAAATGCACTACTGGCATCTTCCAGTTCTTCTTCACCTTGGAGCTCTGTGTGTTAAATAGCATAGTTTGTGTCTTGTCAGGGGTAGACATAGCAAGTGAAGCTGTAATCTCTCAGGCTTCCCAGTAACCCTCAAAGAGGGGAATATTGGCATTCATGTTTTCAGCAGAAGTGACAAAATAGGGATGTTGTTGCACACCCACAAGAAATATGATGAAAGTGAAATAATTGTCTGCTGGATTTAGTATGAATTTGCCACAAAAGCATCCCTGTAGTAGAGTAAAAAATGCTGCTAAAGTTGAAGAACACGTTAAATATGAAAAGGTCAGAAATTTTGTTACTGTCTTAGGGAGGTAAGAAAAATGCAGAAACCAGTAGCCTTAGATACTAATAAACACACTAGGCAGAAAAATGGAACAAATTTGCAGTCCTGTTTTTATCCCTTTTTACCTGTCATTTGTGTTTAATAAAGAAAAGAGGGTTTGTTCTGATATACAACGTAAGAAATTGAACGTCTCCAGCAAATACAAACACTCAATCCCCCAAATTCATCTGATTATATCAGTTTATTAACTTTGTGAAACTTTGAAGAATTATGCAGGATTCTAAAGTTTTACAAGTATTTACTGCTATTTCTTTTAAGATACCTTGTTGACATTTGAAAAATTGTCAATATATCACTGGGCAGTACATTAAGGGACCGTGTCTGCTTTTAATTATAACCAGTAGGAATTTTGTGGGTCATAAATGGAAGTCATATCTTGCCATGGGCTCCTGGAGTTTCCTGAAAGATATGTAAACTTCAGAAATCAAATAGCTGTCAAATAAACTGTAAGCAGTCCCCAAAATGGGGCAGTTTCCAACAATGTCATAAGACAAATTAGAGATGGAGAATGCAGAACACAGAGATGCATCTTTCCATGCATATCCAGAACAATATTCAGTGAATTACTGTAGAACATTCAGGATCATAACCAAATATTGTTTGGTTTTCTGTCTGCCTGTAGAATGAAAAGTCTGTGACTAACAAAATTCCATTGTGAGCTAGTTCTGTATGGACTGTACAGGTTTTTAGTTTCTTGTTTATGAATACACTGGTACATTTTTATGTTGTTGTGTGACAAGAGGTCAGCTCATTCTGCAGCTTTTGGGTCACAAATGTGGTGAACATAAACTAGCCTAGGACATAATTAGAGAGCTGATTTGACCTGTGAGGAGAACAAAAATTCCTAGACATTCAGCCCAAGGTGCTATGAGTTCTGTCACAGTAATAATAATAATAATTCTGAAACCTATGCAGTTGGCAACATTTGTCACCTTAAATGATAAGTGAACCTTTACAGTTACACACAGAGACTCAGTTAAATGTTTGCCCTTTGAGATCTAAGATGTACTTATAAAAGCATTTCTTCATAGACCTTCTTTGGACTCTTCAGATAGTAAACATTGCAAATTATCTCTGTTGATACGGGATGTCTGCCCCATTCTGCACCCTGTTGTCTATACATTATACTTTATAATCCCTTGATATCATCCACAAACTGCCCACAATTTCTAAAAGAAAAAATCTCTCATGGGCAGTATTGTCTTTCCCATTAAAAATCAAACTCCATGCAACAATATAATCTCAGTTTCATTGCTAACAGTAGTAAACTTTTATGCTTCAAAACTGTCACTCAGACAGTGACCAAAGCTTGTACTCTTTGCAAGATTCCAGGGCATCATAATCTCTTTACCTCTCATCAAAAACGTTGCATGTGTGAGACAGATGAAGGAGTGGGATAAGATATGGCCTTGTTAGAGGCTTGTAATGACACTGAGTCCTTCTGTAGGAATTCCCTCCTGGGAAAGGAAACACAGAACACAGTGGATATAAACCATACCAGCTGCACTTCAGGTTGTGCAGCTGAACTGGAAAATGCTTATTCCTCCCCTTTTCCCCCCAGCCCCGTGAAGTTAATCATCAAAAATTAATGCTCCCTGAGAGCTGTATCAAGCATACCAAGCTGTATAGGTATCAGCAACTGTATTGTTTGTTCTCTCATATGACCCAAATACACCAGCTGGATTATACTTTCTATTACACACAAGATAATATATAATTAGCTAAGGGAGTCTGTCTATAGAGAAGAGATTTTAATGGAATGTACCCTAGCAATATCCAAGTCATTGCAATATCTCTAAATAGAGAAAGTAGAGAATATCTTTTGAATCAAGATGTTGGGGGAGGTGGGGATGGCTGATATTTCTTTGCTTCCTTGTCTTTTGATTAAATTTACACTGAAGCCAAATCCCTTTGGCAAAATACTTCATTTTGTTGGGAGACTCAATTTGCAGCTCATAGACTATTTTCACATGAAAGATTTAACCCACCTCCATAGGACAATGAGTGGACAGGATATGTGGGATGTCAGATATTACTTTTTGTCCATTCCAGTATTATTTAGAGTTGAATTAATAAATAAAAATGAGAAAATAACCATGCAGTGGAGGCAAGGGGGAAATTAGTTTTCCAATGAGATTTGAAAAAGAGATGAAGAGCTGATGAGGCAGAGAGATAGAGCAAAGTACCAGATTTAAAGAATTAGAAAGCAGTATGACCTTGTTAATTTTTCTATCAGTCTACAGCTGTATTTACTTAACTTACATGAGAAATGATGCTCCTTCTTAAAATCTAATATTAAAACAAAAAACCCTATTTCTTTGAATAATCATTAATGTGGATTAAAATGAGCCCTCCTGAATTTGAGTAACTGAATTTAAGGTACATGACATGATGGGAGTAATGTAAAGATTTAAGACTATCAACGCATAATGTTTTGACTGGCGGAAATATTTTTACAAAAATTAATAAGGAATATTATAAACAAGAAAGTAATTTTGTCTTTTAGAGCTGTTTGCCTGTAGTATCCTGTAGTCTAAAGCAAATCTACCTGTTCTAGAAATATGTACACAATATTATTTCAAAGCCTTAGGAGTGTAGATATATAATAGATTACACACTGCACTTTGAAGGCAAAAAGATGTACAGAGCTATGAACTGATATTCTTGTCACTTTTTTTCCTTTATTTTTTGAGGAACAGATAATCTTGTGCTGTGCTCAGTCCTGAGAACACACCAGGCTCACTGTCACACCAGTGTCCAAGCTGTTTTATTCTATCTTTTATTCCCATGTGACCTGGCAGTGTAAGGTGTGTGACTCATCCTGGTTTAGGACAGCAGATGTTCCTCTGTGTCTTCTCCAGCTAAAGAGATATTTCATTATGATCCTCTCAGGTTAATTAACCTAATCCTGCATGAACACTGTCTGGAATCCAACCTCAGTGAAGCGGAACCACACGTGTTCTTATTAGACAAGATATGGATATTTCTTTTAAGAAGCCACTTCCTGTAGATAAGACAATACTCTAAATTTCTGTGTGACATTTTGGAAACGAGAAGTAAAATTAATCATTTCTCCTCTGTGCCTTTCTATGAGGTCTATGTGACACATTTGAGGTTCATTGACTCTCAGCCTCCTACTGCTTAAATAGCCAAACCTCTCCAATCTTCCAGCTCTTTAATTACAATCTTGCATAATGTTTAAATGAGTCAGAAGAAACATGGTTTTTTTCAGCCACAACTATGTTACAACTTACCTATTTCCTTGAAGTACCTGTTATTACATTCTTGGTTCAGATTTTGCTTTTATGTTAGGTTTTTAAATCATGAAGAATAATATATGCCCTAGATCCAATTGTCACGAGGCTGAAGGGGGCCTGCAGGCTGTGTGACATAACTCATGGGCAGATGTAGTTCATTTGGTGCTGTTGTGGCTACATTGTTAGGATGTACTAGTTCTTCCTCCAGGCATGTTCTTTTATTGCTTGATAACCTTTCAAGCTTCCTGACTAAATTTGAAAGTCAACATC